AATGGCAACACTGACGCATGTGGATTTTGCCACTACCAGTGGCGGCGGGCGTGTTGTTTTAAGAAAATATAAATCAAAATAAATAAAATTATGATTTAAGTTGTAATTATAATTTATAATTTATGATTTTGAATCCTTAAAAATACCTATTATATTTTCATGAAGACCTAAAGCCTTCATGCAAAAAGCAGCAAATTAATTACTAGATACAATAGGTATAAATATAAAATACGCAAGTATAAGTATAAAATGTTTATTGAAAATACAAAAAATCGTCCAATTATACAAAAGTTTTTTTTACTTGATATGGAATATAAAAGCTTACTATCATACATACATATTTGATTTATATATAGGTAAGAACAAGGTATAGTCACCGCTTAACGTATAGCTTTACATTTTTTAACTATGTACTTAAACGACAGAGTTGATTCTTTAATTATAATATGTATTGATTCAGAAAAGAAACTTTAATTTGGTACAACCGCTGTTTTTATTTCGCTGGTTAGTGGTTTTTGAACAAAAATGACTATTGCCTCTATAAAAAAAGGAAAGCATGCAGTCTTGTATATCATACAGGATCAGTGAAAATCCTGCATAGTGGAGCTGTTAGCTCAGCAGTACTATTGCGGGAAGGCCTTTCAGTCATCAGTGGCATTGTTAGAGTCTAGGCCTTTATGTATTCGCTTTGCTTGTGTAGTCGTTTCTGGTCCTGGCATTGAGGAAAATACTCTCAGGATAGTAGGGGCCGGGGGAGACTCTTCTTCAGGATCGATCTACAGTAGATTTTGATCCAAGCATTTCTGCGTGAAGTAGCAAGAAAACCTCAAAAATAATTGGTATTAGATTTGTTATGATCGTGATGAATAACTCAAAAAATGGACTGTATGAAAATAATTTACTGGAAAACTGGAGGACAATATAATTAAATTGACTAGTTCAACCACGTTGAGTGAAGCTAATGACAATTTCATAAAATTAGCATTGTGGCCATATTATTAATTAATGCTTGGCCTAGACAAGATTTTTGGTTTTTAATCTCTTTGCGTATTCAAATAATAATCAATAGGGAACTTTACAATTTTTTTTTATTTTTTCAAATCATTTATTTATGCCTTAAAAGAGTGTTCCCAAAATATTATTTTCTAAAACTCAATAATAACTTGGTGAAAAATGTTTAAAGTTTCGCGCGTATTAAAAGCATTTCAAACGACCTTAAATGCGCGCGAATCTGGATGACGACACGTAGTATGATTTTGCGTCACCTTGTCGCCAAATGTTATACTTCATTGTATTTAATTTGGTTGATTTCCACATTTTCCACCGTTATTTGTTTTGTTGTTGTTTTGTGTTGCAGCGAGTTGTAAATTTTAAAGTTATAATGGAAAAAAAGATTCGCACATAAAATGTGTTTTTTTTTTTTAAAGATAAAAGTCAAAATGACATTATGTTGGCAATACAATGTAAAATTGTCAATGCTTTCAAATTTTTTATGTAGAAAAGGATTGTGTTGCCAACATAGTTACTAAATTTTTGACTTGGGGAATTATCTTTAAAAAAAACAGACTTTACTTACTTTTGCTACCATAAACATATCACAAATTACAGATTGTCGGATTGGCTTTTGGAATTTCCTTCTTCGGTCATAATTAATAGGTATATCGCTTTATTTATGTAATGCTGAGCTAATCATTGAATTTAAGCTAAGTAAACCAATTCTAATAATGATAAAATTTTAAAAAAATAGAGAAAAACGTGGATAAACACAACTAACGGGTATTTATTATGTAGAGTTCGAGCTGCTGTTTTGTTCTTTTATCCCTCCCTGTTCTTCTCATTATAAGGAAAAAAGACGAAAAATGCTCCGAGCGCTCAGTGTTTCAAGACGAACTCACGGTATGATGGACGTTTGCTGACAGACACTGACAAATCATACTAGATGACGTCACGACCAGTACCAGCGCGTTTTTTTCCGCTGGAAATAATTTGAATTTTTCCGCATTTTTAATTCCTTATTGCGGCCGTTTGTGACAAAAAAAAATTGTTTTTTTTTTCGCTGATAATGTTTTAACATAATATATTCTTATGATTTATAGTAATAATATTTTCATGTTTAAATTTTTTGTCAAGTTCCCTATTGTCGAGGTAGGAAATATTAAAATATAATGGGTAAAACATAATACCTTTTTGTAATATCTCCCATTTCTGATGCAGTTTCTGTTGTAGATCCACCAGAATCCTTATTTTTTGTATGTTGCTCAACCCTGACCCTGCTAACAAAAAAAAAATATATTTTTGATTTATTATATCTAGTAATCAAAAACGGCACTCCAATACTTTTTAATAGATTAATAAAGATATCTGTCATCAAGGATACCTTTTTATGATTTCCTTCACTGGGCTGCTTGAGGGGCCTGCCATATTTCTGTCAGACTGCAAAATAATGATTTCAGACCCACTGGGCTGCTCCACGAAAATTATCATCCAAAGGTCTGAAAATAATAATGTGAGATGAAAAAACGTACCTAGCAGGAAGGCCTGGAAATACTCCTTGAACTGTTCTATATCACATCAAACTTACTTTGAATAGAAGAGATTTCCTGCGGGTTTCTGTCAGGTGACTCAACAAGGGTAGAGTCCGAACTAAATAATAATAATAATAATAATAATTTGAGAAAAAGCTGAGAGAAAAAGTGACAAAAAAAAGATGATCCATGAATTCATAATATACACTAAAGATATTTAAAGAAAATACTTTGTTAGTTCAACCTTACCTAAAAGATGATGGATCTTTGAACGCAGCAAGCCTGGGTTCAGCATCTGGCCTTATCCTTTTTTTTTCCAGTCAGGCTTATTGTTGTTACATCACTGGGATCAAAATGATCCGAGCAAATGAAGGAAAATTTATGTACGTTCGCATTTTCCAAGCCCAAAATGGAAATCCACTTTTTCCTTCTTTTCAGATTTACAGGAAAACTACAACAAAAATTATAATAGAACCTAGTAATAGTGTATAGAGTCAAAGTTTATAAAGTTCAAGCTCACAATTCTTACTTCTCAATGCGTAATTTTAAAAATTCAGAGTTGAAACCAATTCTACATTAATCTACTTATCGCAAAACACTTCAAAATACGGTTATATCCACCTTTTAAGCCTAAACTCTAAACATTAAACCATCAGGTGCTGTATAAACTCGTTTCTGTTGTGAAATAACAACTAATTTCAAATTAGTATTAGCAACTCGATTAGCAATAATTCATTGTGCATTAAGCAATAAGCATTATGAATTATACACTATTATTGGCTAGCTAAACAGGGCTCAAAGAGTACTTACCTATATTGATTCAGGAAAACTCAGATTATTGCTGTAATTTAATTTCTAGATCTCAAATAAAAAGTTTCCTCTGAATTTTTCCCAGAATCTAATAGAAAGTTTACAATAAATTACCATAAATACCCTCTAACTACGCCAATGGCGGCCAATGTCAAGAGTAAAATGATGTCAAATTTCTTACCGCCGAAATATCGAATTCTGCTTTGAATCCTTACAGATAATACATCGACGTACCATTGTTACTGTCTCCACTACACTTTCTATAGTTTTGAATCCAAAAATAACACTCAAAATCACAAAAAATCACAAATTTAGCTTGATCACTTTCCAGCAACACTGCCAAATCCCTAATGGATGCCAAAAGTCACATAAAATCATCTGATTGGCTGCTCGTAGATGCAACGTTGCCGATGTGACGTTTTTCAAGCCATATACTCCTGGTTATTCCAGAATTTTCACCAATTTAAATTTAAAAAAAGACTAATTATCATTTTCAAAAAGGCGTTTAAGTTATGTTTCAACAAAGATTCATATAAAAAAACATTTACATTATGTTGAAACATATTTTGGAATAATGATTATCCGTGAAAACATTTAATATTGAAAATCACATCGGATTATTGGCATCCGGGCATTTCATGCAAAAATCGACCTTATGGATGTTGGATCGCAAATTGTTTGTTTACTGTTGTATCTGTCGTTTTTAGTTGTTAATCTGAGGTCACAGCCGAGAGAGGTGTGTTCCAGTTTGCCCTCTGCAGTAGCAGTTTCTGTTTGCCGTCACTGCGAAGCGATTTACAATAAATATTTCATTATTTACATCACTTTGACTTGAGTTTAGTTGGCGCTGCATCGGTGAGAGATCGAAGCGACTGTGACAGAATGTCACTGCTACTTGAGTGGGACTGGAGCAGGCTGTGACTGTGACAGACGAGTAGCAGTGACAAAGTCACAGTTTGTGAAATCGCAGCCCACCTCTAATTATTTATCAACCATTGACAATTTCAGTTATAGGGTTGCCACCTCTCCGGGTTTCACCCAGAGTCTATGGGTTCTCACATATAGTCTCCGGGCACTGGATTACTAGGTGTTTTCTCCGGGTAAGCCTCGATTTTTAGAATCAAGGTCATATCGTCGCCAAAACCCGAAACCTGGCTGTATGGCGGTTACACTTTAGTGCGTATTTTCTGTGAATTTTTTATACAAAATCAAAGAGTTGCGTGATTAAATGTAAGGTAAGTGTATCGATAATTGTGTGAAACTAAAATCAGAAACAACCCATAAATTATTCTAGATAAATATTTGATTGAAAAATACACTGGACTTACACATTTTTCCTTCGAGATTATCTTGACTTCAACGAATATGAAAAGTGTGTAACTCCATAATGTTAGTGTACAAACACAGTGCAAGCAGGTTTCCGCTTACCGGTAACCAGCGCCGACTCTCGCTTATAAGTCGATTGAAAATTATAAGCCGATTTGAAAACATGCATTCACTTTTCGCGCTTATAAGCGCGAGTCGGCGCTGGTTACTGGTAATCGGAAACCTGCTTGCACTGTGTTTGTACACTTACAGTGTACCCTGTCTCAAATAGGTACAAAAAAATAAATCCTTTTTTTTCTGTAGACTTCAACCATGTCAAGAGGAAAGAAAATACTCGATATGGTTTTAAATTTAAATGAAACAAGTAATGACAAACAATGTGACAATACAGATAGAATTGAGGTCATTGACGAGTGCATTATGACAGAAGATGGTTTCTTACAAAGTATAGATCCTTCTGATGCAACTGAGTTTTTCGTGCCAGGTATGAATTTTTGTTTATAGGTAGCAAAAAATCAGAATAGCCTGTCTACTTTCAATGTTAGTGGTAAGGGTATTTACAAACTCACATAGGTACCTACTTTGATTAATAATAATAATGTCTACTTTCTTCTAGTCGCGAATGACGTTGCTGTAGTGGACCTAGAAACAGTAGGTGAAACAGGTGTAGAGAGCGGAGATAGAAATGACGAGCAAACAAGGGGATATTTTGAAGAAAATCAGATGGAGACTGAAGATGAAGCAACAGAAATTGAAGAAGAAATTTGCGGTTTTCAAGAAAACCAAAATGCCATAGATTATGAAATTGATACTGTCATGGATGAATCTGATGCATACATACCTGAAGAGCATTCTGAAAGTAGTGATGATGCACCTTCTGATTTAGAAAATCAGGATCCCAGAGAAGAAAGAGGCCAAATTGGAGATGAAACTGACGTTGTGGAAGATGTGGAAAACAATAATGAAGGACCACCCAGGAAAAAAAGAAGACGTGTTTATTTGAAGCAAGATGCAACATACTTGCAAAATAAAAAGAACAGGGAACTTGGCAGGGCTTATCAGAGCAAAAAAAAGGTAGACAATAAGTGGAATTACAATATTGAAAAACCCGGAAAACAGATGAAAAATGGATGTTCGTGCAAATTGGGAAAAGCAAACTCAGTTTTGAAATGTTCCGAAGTCATACAGAAATATCGTCAAGAAATATTTGATAAGTTTTGGAAAATGACTTGGCCTGAAAAGAAGCAATACGCAGTAGGTCTCATTTCCTTAGAACAGGTAAAAAGACGACGGGGCACAACCGAAAATAGTAGAAGAAATTATTCATATAAGTACTACTTAAAATGTAGCAATTTAAAAACTTACAGAGTATGTAAAAAGATGTTCACAAGAACTTTGGGGGTCTCAGAAAATGTTGTATTGCTTTGGTTAGAAAAGAACAATAGCATGACTCAAGATAACGACGAAGAGAGAGTTGAAAGACCTCGAAGAGAAAATGAAAAGACAAAATCAATTAACCAGCTGAAAATCTTTTTCACGTCTCTTTCTAAGATGGAATCGCATTATTGTCGCGCTTCCACAAGCAAATTATATTTAGAGCCCTTGTGGCAAAGCAAAAGAGAATTATTTCGTTTTTATAAAAATACTTGGTGTGTAGAGCAGAATGCACAAGCTGTAAGTATTACATCATTTTGTTCTATATTCAATGAGATGGGTTTATCCCTATACAGACCAAAAAAGACCAATGCGATATCTGCATGGGCTATAAAACTAAAAATATCTCTGATGAAATATACCAAGAACACTTGGCTTTAAAAGAGGAAGCAAGGAGTGAAAAAAGCAGGGATAAACTGTCCGAGAATGATGTAGTCCTGACAGTAGATTTGCAATCAGTATTACTTGCCCCGAAATCCAAAGTATCACTAATGTATTATAAGACCAAGCTTGCTGTGCACAATTATACTCTTTATGACATAAAATCAAATGATGGCTATTGCTTTTTATGGAGCGAAGTTGAGGGTTCCCTAGGTGCGAATGAATTTTCAAGTATACTTACCTATTTTATTGAAAACATGATTTTACCAAAAATTGATAAGAGCTTAGCTAAAATTATACTCTGGAGTGACGGCTGTGTAGCCCAAAACAGGAACAATGTGTTGTCCAATGCACTTTTGAATATTGCAATTAAACATAATGTTGTGATTTTACAAAAATTTCTCTACAAAGGACATACCCAAATGGAGGCTGATTCCATGCATTCAGTCATTGAACGTCGTTTGCGAAATCGAGATATCAACGTTCCAGCTGACTACGTCCAATATTGCAGTACAGCACGTCTGAATCCTAGACCCTATTTTGTTAAATATTGCACATTTAATTTTTTCAAAAATTTTGATGGTGTTAGGTTTCACAACTCAATCAGACCTGGACGTAAAGCCGGTGATCCAGTTGTTACAGATCTAAAGCAGATAAGGTACAACCCTACTGGAAATATCGATGTTAAACTGCGACACCCTGAAGAATGGCAGCCACTTAATTCAAGGACAGTGTTGCCGATTGCCGCATAATTATGCGATTTCCGCATAATCTAGAAGGGGTCGCATAATTTCCGCATTTAAATAAAAACCGCATTTTTCCGCATTTTTTCGCACTTTCAGGATATTTTATAACATCACCTTCCTTGAAATGTGATTTTAGGAATCAAAAATGCTTATACGATTTAGAATTGCTCAATTTTTTTGATGGAAATTATATGCTCCTGCACTTCGTCCTCTAGATCAATAATATTCACTTGTAGTACGTAAGTTCCACTGCTCTGCGCCATAGTGTTTAAAGAAATTTCCGAGAATAAGGTTCCAAGAGTTCATATGCCTAATATGGCATATGACACCTCGCAGCCAGGTTATGTCATTCGTATTTTCTATGCTCAAAGAAGCGCCAACAAAATTTTCTTTGATCAACTTTACTGTGTTTTTTAGAGTAGTTCAACCGAAAATGGGAAAAAATAGACGCAAGAAACATCGAACATCTTCATCCTCAAGTAGCCGAGCTAGCAGATCGCCGAAGCGACGAATGCTGGACCATCATAGGAACCGCTCTAGGAGCCATGAGGTTCAGGATTTCCATCAAGAAATCGCAGATATGCAAAAACGGCTAGATGAATTGAAGAGGTCCAGAAACGTTAAAAACGAAAATGTAGAACGTATGAGCCAAAATAGGAATGTCCGCGACTCCCGAAGTCCGGCATCCCATCATTTTTCAGTCCGAGACTCGAGAAGTCCGGCTACCCCTGAAAAAAGAGTCCGAGGCTCGAGAAGCCCGGCTTCATCTCAAATAATAAACCTGGTCGATAATGATCCACTGGATCAAGTACCCGAATGCTGGGGCGAAGATCCAGAGGTTGGTAAAATCAATTATTTTGATCTACACCCGCAACTCACAAAAAGGGTTAACTATATCGCATCAAATGGGCTGGATAAAGAGACACAAAACCATCTGGCCAATAAATACCCTTCCCCAAAAGGTGTCCATATTGGCCCCCCTATATTGAACCCAGAAGTGGTTGCCACTATGGGGCCAACGGGTTTGACCAAAGATAAATTTCAAATATCTTTTCAAGAAGAGAATGCTAAAGGCATCTCTAACCTTCTTTATGCAGTCAATAAATTAATCAATGACGAAAGGGAAGAGGTGCCCAAAGCCGAATACATTGAGTTACTGAGTGACACCACACGACACTACACAAATCTCCAGCACAAGCTTTCTCTCCAACGTAGGTCTTTTATCAACCAAAATTTAAATAAATTGGTTGTTGACCTCTCGGTGACAACACCTGTGGATACTTTTCTTTATGGAGAAAATTTGGGGGAACGAATTAAAACAGCAAAGGCTGCAGAAAAGGTGGCTAAAGTCTTAACAGTTGTAAAAAGTAATAGCACCTTTCAACAGAAAAAATCCCAGCATGGCCAGCATCATTTAAATGCATATGGCCCTTCGAGGAAGACGGGGTGAAATCCTCGACAGGGCCAGAGGGACTATCACCCATCGAACCGCCCCCAGCATCAAGTTTTAGCAAGATCCAACCCTCGGAACTACCCAAACAAAACTTACTACAAAACACAGAGGAAAAGCAAGTAAAGGTGAGTAATTTTATACATCTTCCAGAAGTGGGTAGACTCTCTTATTTCACCAATGAATGGAAGGCTTTGGGGGTGTCAAAAATGGTCTTATCTTGGATCAAAGGTTTTGAAATACCTTTTGTAACACCCCCACAACAAAATTCCCTTAAAAAAGAGCCAACATTTTGTCTTTCTGAAAAACAATCTTTAAAAACTGAAATAGCTAAGCTATTAAATCAAGGCACGATAAAAGTCTGTACTCCTTGCGAAGGGCAGTTTTTGTCGCCTTATTTTCTAATAGATAAGCCAAATGGCAAAAAGAGATTCGTACTGAACTTGAAAAAACTTAATGAATTTCTACAACCTCCCCATTTCAAAATGGAGGATGGGAGAACAGTCTGCAAGTTACTGCAGAAAAATTATTTGCTGACAAAAATCGACTTAAAGGATGCTTATTTTGCAATCCCAATAAATCGAAATTCTAAAAAATACCTTAGATTTCAATTTGATAATCAGCTTTTTGAATTCCAAGTTTTGCCCTTTGGAATTTCATACGCCCCGTTTTTGTTTACAAAAATAATACGTCCAGTACTTGGCCATTTTAGGAACAAGGGCATTTTATGTGTGGCCTACATTGATGATTGGTTTTTAATTCATGATTCTCTAATCCTTGCAAATAAAAATACAAAATTTGTGGTGGAAACACTGCAGTCCTTAGGTTTTCTGATAAATTTTGAAAAGTGTTGCCTAGAACCGCACACCCGCTGTCTGTATCTAGGTTTTATTTATGATACAAAGAATATGATTATAAAACTTCCTGAAGACAAAATCATCAAAGTAAAAAAGTCATTATCGAAACTCAAAAGCAGTAAAGAGTGTAAAATAAGGTTTCTTGCCCATGTAGCAGGCATACTGATATCAATATGCCCGGCAGTAAAGTACGGGAAATTATACACAAAAACAATAGAGCACGAAAAATTCCTTGCATTAAAATTATCAGAGGGTGATTATGAATGTAAAACACTTATTTCTGGGGAACTTAAAATAGAGTTAACCTGGTGGGAAAAGAATCTACCATTTACTTATAGAGACATATGTCTAGAAACCCCTAATCTAGAAATATATACAGATGCTAGTAAAACTGGTTGGGGGGCAGTATGCAATGAGAAAGAGGTTTATGGGTGGTGGAATAGTAAGGAAGTCAATCTACATATCAATATCTTGGAGTTAAAAGCCGTTTATTTTGCGCTAAAATGTCTAGCAGGAGGACTTAAATCTACCACGATCCTCCTCAGAGTAGACAACACTACAGCAGTAGCGTGCATTAATAAAATGGGGAGTGGACAATATCAAACCCTTAATGCCATAGCCAAAGACATATGGCAATGGTGTGAAAAAAGAAACGTATGGCTGATTGCATCTTACATCAAATCCAAAGACAATATTGCAGATAAACACTCTAGAATAATGTCTGAGGAAACTGAATGGGAACTGTCAAGTAAAGCATTTGAAAAGATTATTTCTGTTTTTGACCAACCACAAATTGATCTTTTCGCGTCTAGAGCTAATACAAAGTGTAGTAGATACGTTTCTTGGCATAATGATCCAGGCTGTGAAGCTATTGATGCTTTCACGTTATCATGGACTTCCCTGAAATTTTATGCGTTCCCCCCATTTTCTATGATACTCAAAGTGTTGAACAAAATCATACAAGATAAAGCAGAGGGCATAGTAGTCTTACCAGACTGGAACTCTCAGCCCTGGTACCCCCTTTATCAAAAAATGGTGAAGGGAAAATCTATAAAATTTAATCCAGATCCTAATTTAGTGTCTTCCCCTTTCAGGCAACATCACCCCTTGTCGGAAACCCTTTCCCTGGTGGCCGCCAATTTGTCTGCGAGGCATTTAAAATAAACAACATTCCACAAGACACCATCGAAACTTGTATGGACTCTCTGTCGAAAAATACTCTACAGCAATACGAGTCAGCTTATAAGGAGTGGTGGATATTCTGTCTGCAGCGTCAGATAAATCCATATACCGCCGGTGTGACAGAGGTTTTACAATTCTTACAGGATATGAAGGTCAAAAAGCAGTGGAAGTATGGGACCTTCAACTCCTGCAGGTCAGCCTTGTCCCTGGTCCTCCCAGGGGAGATAGGAAAAAACTTGATAATAAGAAGATTTTTAAGGGGTATATCAAAATCCAGACCAAGTAAACCTAAGTATGAGACTACATGGGACCCAAAAACAGTTTTGGATTATATAGAATTGAATAGCCCTATTAACGAGAAGTTAAACATGAAACAACTCGGCATGAAAGTTATAACACTGCTTGCCCTCGTCACAGGACAGAGATTACAAACCATATCTCTCGTAAAAGTTGAAAACATCGTGGCAACTCTTGAAGGCTTACAAATCATTATACCTGAAACTTTGAAAACCTCAAAACCAGGGAAGGCACAACCTTGCCTTATGCTACCATTCTACAAGAACAACCCAGCATTGTGTGTAGCTTCGGCAATCCTGAATTATGTAGAAAGGACAGCATGCATTCGGGGAAATATACAATACCTGTTTATTTCTAACAAAGAGCCATACAGACAACTGAGCAAACAGACCCTATCCAACTGGATTAAAATAATAATGGAGAAGGCGGGGATAGATACACAAATCTTCAAGCCGCATTCAACCAGGCACTCATCCACATCAAAGGCCTGGAAACAAGGAATATCCTTCGATACCATAAGAACCTCAGCTGGTTGGACGAAAAATTCCAAGACCTTTGCGTCCTTCTACAATCGGCCTCTGGAGGATAAATTCTTATTTGCTAGAACCATTTTGTCAAATGTCAACTGAGATCATATTAAGCAGTTGAACAATAAATATATTTTCCAGTACAAAAAGCTTTAAACAGCTACAAGTGAATATTATTGATCTAGAGGACGAAGTGCAGGAGCATATAATTATAAAATCAAACGAACTTACCTGAAGTTCGATTTTAATTATATGCTCCTGCACTTCGTCCGAATAGATCAAACCCTCCCACCCGTAAATACTAAATATCTACACCCTATTCATCCCAAGATTCCCAAACATAGTTAGATCTAGGGAATAATTTGTTCTGAAAAATACACAATAGGAAAGTGCCCATCGCTCCAAACAATCCAGGAGTACTTATCGAAGACGAAAAGTCGAATGCTCCCAGATTGTTACAGTACAGAAACTAGTGGGAGGATTGCAAAAACACGACTCGAAACGGACACTCGATGCGAAAGTGAATACGCATCGACCGGTCGAGTGACTTTTGTGGAAATGCATTCGCATGGAGTACGTTCGAAATCAAAATTTCGGTGTAACATGGCGTTTTCGGTTCGAATCGAGAGTTCGTAAACCGCCCCCAGGAACGTAGTGTAGATAACGGTGTACCTTACCAATCTTTAAACTAGAATGACATAACCTGGCTGCGAGGTGTCATATGCCATATTAGGCATATGAACTCTTGGAACCTTATTCTCGGAAATTTCTTTAAACACTATGGCGCAGAGCAGTGGAACTTACGTACTACAAGTGAATATTATTGATCTATTCGGACGAAGTGCAGGAGCATATAATTAAAATCGAACTTCAGGTAAGTTCGTTTGATTTTATAATTATACAGTTCTGACTCCCGTATTATCACAAGAAGCGCGTTCATAAATGCTTAAAAAGTCATCGCTCTGGAGCACTACAGACAGAAGCGCTTCAGTTCAGTTGTGCCCTAGAGCGCTCGAATGTGTGAAAGCACCTATTTCACAAGATCGCGAAAAAACCTAAACGTCACATCGGTCGTTTTGATTTGACTTGCCGTTGCCGCCAATGAATGAACTATCTTGGGGAATCCCCGAGCCGAACTAAACTTCGTAGTTCGTTATTATTGGTCGGGGATTTTTGACAGTTTTACTGGATCGACTGATCGAGATTTGCTTGCATTTGGTACATCTTGGAGGTCATGAATTTGCCAACTGTATGGAATTTTGATTTGTTGAAACAGTGTCTGCGATAGTGTGTTTTATAGGATTACTCTAACCGCTGATTGATAAAAAAAAAAACGAGCAATGGATCGTTGGCTTTCTAATGCGAAGGTACGTTAAAATTTAGCTATAAATATAAAGGGTTAGTAGGGTAGAAATGTTTTTCTATTACTTTTTTGTTAAAAAAACTATAGATATTTTTATTCTTAATCTCTGTTAACATTTCCTAGGCAAAAAAAAACAACGAAATTTCTGAATCCGCCGGGAAGGAACCTCAACCAGGCTGTAGTTATCAAAATACGGATATCGCGTCTTGTTCTCCTAATTTTGACAATGATGAGGATGAGGATCAATTAATGGAAACGGATAATATTGATGTTGATGTTGAGTCGGAAGCAGAGCGAGCTGTGAGTATTTTAAATTTGTACTTACCGTTTACTAAAACTTTATATATAATTATTCAGATCGATATTATGCCGACTTCAGCAGCCAAAAAACAAGGGCCTTCAGGATCGAAAAAAAAAGACAAAAAAAAATTTGTCGCATCCTGGTGTCAAATGCCTATTTTTCAGGGATGGTTAGAAAAATCCTCGAAAGCCCCAAATCAAGACAAAAATGAATTCGCCTTCTGCAAAGTGTGCCAAATGGATATAGTTGCTCATAAAAGTGTTCTTGTAAGCCACTCAAAAACTGAAAAACATAAATTAAATTATCTTCGAGGAGCTAAAAATACAAAAATCGACGACCTTTTTAAGGGGAAAACTGCAAATGACGTATCGGTTAAAATAGCTGAATTGAAACTATGTTCAATGTTGGCAACTAATGATCTTTCGTTTTTATTAATGGACACATTAACTCCGCTGCTAAAAAATGTCTTTCCAGATTCCAAAATTGCTCAAGACATTCAATTGAAGAGAACAAAAGCAACCGCAGTGTGCAAAAGTTTAGGGGATAATTTTCTTTTTGATCTATATTCAAAAATTAAAGACCCTGGATCATTTTTCTCAATAATAATGGACGAAACAACGGATATTTCCGTTAAAAAACAATGTGCTTTCACTGTCATCTATTTTGATAATATTGATAATAAACCAAAAACTAGATTTTTTGATTTAGTAGAACCACAAGGTTCATCTGCTGTGGAACTTTTCACAGCATTGAAAGAATCTGTTGTGTCGAAAAATATTCCTTTTTCCAATTTAGTAGGATTCTCATCGGATACTACAAATGCCATGGTTGGTGAATACAATTCTGTGTTCTTTCATTTAAAAGAAGAATTGCCCAGCATTGTATGCATAAGGTGCTCTTGTCATATGGCACATCTGGCCACCTCCAAGGCATGTCTCCAGCTTCCTAGGCGTGTAGAGGACTTATTGCGAAACATCGGGAGTCATTTCAATAGGAGCGCCTTACGAAGGTAAAAATTTGAAGAGTTCCAACATTTCTTCCAAGTGGAGATCCACAGAATTTTATCACCAGCCATGACAAGATGGCTTTCTGTTAAAGAAGTAGTCAATAGGGTATTGGAACAATATGAGCCATTGAAGGCATACTTCACAGCATCTGTTTTCGAAGATCCATCCCTAACTACCGAAACTATGCTAGAAACAATGGTAAATCCTTTCAGTAAAATTTACCTCGAATTTATGTCATATTCATTGGGAATCATGACAGATTTCAATGTTCTTTTTCAATCCGAAAAACCTCTTCTCCACAAGTTGAAGCCTGAGACAGAAATGCTACTTAAAACTTTGTGCTCAAATTTTATAAAAGTATCAACAATCAGGAATGTGCCAGATATTTTCACATTTAATCATCAAAACCCGTTAAATTTTATTCCTTTGGAACAAGTTTATTTGGGCATATCAGCAACAGAATCCATATCAGAATTGAAAAAGTCAGCAAACATTCAGGAAAAAGAATTTTCCATTTTTTATAAAACAATATTGTCATTTTACATTCAATTAGTATCGGAAATTAAAGAAAGGTTTAAATTTGAAGATCCCATTTTTAAAATTGTTGAGGTATTAGATCCAAAAACAGCTCAAAAATTTGAAATCAAATCTCTGGCACATATTATTAATAGATTCCCAGTTTTAAAAGAGTACGTTAATATCCAAGAGCTTGATAACGAGTGGCGAAGACATGCTTTGCTGAATTTTGAAGAACTAAATCTTAACTTGAATGATGCTGAGCAATATTGGTCAGACATACTAAATATGAAAAATGATGCCGGTATGCCATTGTTTCCTAATCTAAAACCCGTCCTAGCACTACTTCTTGTTTTGCCGTATTCGAATGCGAGTGTAGAGCGTATTTTTAGTGATCTTTTTAATATTAAAACTGACAAAAGAAATTTATTAGATACAACCACTATTAGAGCCCTTTTAGCAACTAAGGAAGGGGTGAAAGAGAGTGGAGGCTGTACTAAATTTCAGCCTTCAAAGCGAATGTTGTATCAGAAAGTATGGCAAAACAAAAAATAGTTATAGTAGTATAAGTTTTATAATGGTGGCCTAAGTGGATGGCGTTAATGCTGCCTGAAATTAATAATGACTGACCCTGTAAATTAATAAATAAGTGTTTAGATAATAGTACCTACTGTATTCTGTATTAAAATATGCTACCTATTACATTATTTGAAATCATTTATTTATTTAGTAGAATACACCTTATTTTCACATTGTAAATACATATAGGTAAGTAGAAAGTAGAAAGTACAGAAAAAATATTTTTATTTACAATATTCATTTTAAACACTTTCTATTTTTGGTGAATGCGCAATTATAAATAAAATTACTTGCTAACAAGGTGATGCGTATTTTTTCCTTCATATTTTATGAGAAAATGTATTTCAGCAAAAACCGCATAATTCTGATCGAAATCGCATTTTTTTTGTTCCGAGAGAGCATTATTTTGTCAAGAGCAGTTGGCAACACTGTTCAAGGATTAACACAAGGCAAAATGCAATAAATAGTGAGGACTTGCCAAGTTTATATAACACAAGACGAAAAATTAAGAAAGAAAAGTTCAATCATCTGCAACAACTGAAAATGGGCTTGGAAAACGATTACCATGCATTTTACGACAGCATTCCTTATGAATGAATGAACATCTTTTGATTCAAGTTTTGTATGTAAGGTACCTTTCATTTCATTTTGATTTGATAAATGTTTTAATTTTTAATATTCGCATTTTCTTTTTTATCTCTACACTGTTTTCTAAAAGCCTACAAATTTGCTGCAATTTGTGTAACTCCAAATAAAATTTTCATAAAAGTTTGGAAATTTGTGTAAGTCCACCAAAATATTTAAAACACATAAAAAAGACTAGCAGAGTTTTAGGCATGATTAGTTATCCCAAAAAGTACCTAATTTCCAAGTTTTAGAAGAATCGGCCTATCCCTGTCCTAAGTAGTTTAGAAAAAAGATGTTTTTTGGCTCTCCTGTAAAATTTGTCAAAATGGAGTTACACACTTTTCGGGTTTCGGCGACGATATGGTGTTGCACCGTTGCCGACGTCATCAACGGTGTCGTTAATTGTTTGCGCCAGCGGTCTTAGTTTAAAATATACATTTATATAATAGAGAGTTATTGGAATTTTGTCATAATGTTCGGGCACTAATTATGCCGACCTTATTGAAATAGTGCTGAAACCTTAAGCGTATGGTATAAATTACACTTATTGGTAACATCGATATTTAATGCTTAGCGTTGACAGTATCTTCTACATGCGCCTGCGCGTTCTTTCTACTTTTTTGAATTTATCATAACCTACAAATTTGTACCATAAACAAAACCTTTTTCTTGTATAATTTCCAATAGTTTTTCCTATTTATTTAATAAAATGGAAGAGGATCTACTAGCAGTTATTTTGGGAGGTGGCGACGATGAGGACATAGAATTTGTAATCATTAATAATATTTTAATAGACAGAGGAAATAACAAGAGTCTAATCGTAGGAATAAATGAGGATCGGTGGGGTGGGCGGAGCCTGTGGCACGTCCGCGTCGCCCGCTAATATTTTTGTAGGAGAGGTTATGTTTTGTTATTATTATTATTTGTTGATGTTGTGATTATGTTCGGTTAAAAGTACCGGTATTTCGTGCAGTTTTAATAATTACTAAAATTACCTTTGTTTGCAACATGTTCGTGTGCAACATCTGTCAAAAAACATTCAGTATTTCATCAAAACTGAACAGACATTTAAAAAATGTACATAAACAGGGTGAACTGGGTGAAGTGATAGAGCAACATTTATGTGAAAAGTGTTACAGACTTCTTTATCAGTACAAAATAAAACATTTCCTTCTGAGAAAAATGTTTGCACCAATAAAAATATTGTGGCACAAAGACGTTTTAAGAGCACTAAGAAAAAAAATAAAAATAATAATATTTTGACTAAGCCGTCTGGTGGAACAAAAAATAAGTTAATTCTTGATTTGCTTTTGAAAAATAGTAATTACGAGAGTAATTAAGTAGGTCTAGGTCTAAGCAGATAATAATTTATGATTTATTTTCGTTTATATGAAGTTCCTATAAGAATGTATGTTTTATTTTTTTGTTATATGAATTTCCTTTGATAATAATATATGATTTATTTTCGTTTATACGAAGGGCCCATAAAAAGATGTTTTATTTTCCTTTATATGAAGGTCCTATCAAAAAAATTGGTACTTTTGTTGATTTTCAATATTTGTTTTAGCGTTGATAAAAAACAACATATTTTCGAATTGTTTTTTTCCAATTATGCATTTAAACCCAATATCCCATCGTCCCCATCAGAACTGCAGAGTATCTTCAAAACTAATAAATGTTAGATGGCGCAATATTAGTTATTAGGCTACGTTTAAGGTCAGCCAGCTACATTTGGCAACAGTGTCTCGAGTTCTCCACCCACTGCAACGATCCTCATTTATTCCTACGATTAGACTCTTGTAGGAAATATTCCTGCTGAACCTGTTAAGGCCTGTTTATAGTTCAAAGCTTTTTCCTTTTGTTAGAGTAATATAGTGCACTGAGAGTGAAAGCCGAAAGCGCCTAGCAATAGAACATAACCTAATATAATAATGTAACCAAAAATATATGCTTTTGTAACTGACGTTTAATATTTTATAATAAATTAATGATTAAAGTAATTAGTTAGAAGTTCTCTATCATCAAAGACGTAAATCAACCCCCCAGATACTGTAATAGGTTATGGGCCAAGCAGAGAAGTAGAAGAAACATAAGAAGTTAAGGCTGAAAAAGTAAGCTAATAAATAAAAAAAAAAAAATGAGTAGCTCAGTGGTGAATTTACCACAGTTAACAACTTCTACAAACTTCAACAACTGGAAGTTTAGGGTACATACACTGTTAGATGAACGACAAATATCCGAGGCACTTGAAAAAACCGAAAATGACTACACAGATGACACCAAGAAAAATGAATTCAAGTTGAAAGATGCAAAAGCAAAAAGCATAATTGTACAATGTTTAACAGATAAGCATTTGGATCTAGTAAAAGATGCTAAAACCGCCAAGGAAATGATGGAAGCACTGGAAGGAGTATTTGAAAGAAAAAGTGTATTTACCAAGCTGACTTTAAAGCGAAAGTTACTGACATTAAAGTTAAAAAGAGGTGATAAATTAGAAGATCATTTTCTTATTTTTGATACTCTAATAAGAGACTTGGAAAATGCTGGTTCAGGAAAGATGGAGGAAGAAGATAAGGTATGCCATCTGTTGCTTTCGTTGAATGAAGATTACCAACCTGTAATAACTGCAATTGAGACAATGAACACTGCCATAAAAATGGATTTTGTAAAGGCTAGATTGCTGGATGAAGAAATAAAATTTAAGAATAAACACAGCCAAAGCAATAGCAATACTGAAATGTCGTTTGCATGTTATAAATGTGGCAGACAAGGGCATAAGTTTTTTGAGTGCAGACAGGGCAATACATTAAGAGAAAACTTCAGAGGTCGTAGAGGTTACAACAGAGGCTATTCACAGAATAACCGAGCGCAGTTACGAGGTCAAGGTTACAAACAGAACGAAAACAGAGGTGGAAACAGTCATGTTGCAGACAAGACAGAAGAAATAGCATTCATTGCGTTGTATAGCATCACAGAAAATCGGACAAGAAGTATAAAAGATTTTATTTTGGACTCAGGGTGTACACAGCACATGGTTATGGGTGAAATGGAAATGTATATGTCAAATGTCAAGAAAATACCAACCGTGAAGATCGGCACAGCAAAGAATAATGAAGTTTTGTATGGATACAAGCAAGGTAAATTAAGAGGGGTTTGTCAAGGAAAAGAAATAACCATCGAAGCATTGATTATTGAAGGTATGACACATAATTTATTATCTGTGAGCATGTTACTTGAGAAAGATTTTGAAGTTAGTTTTTGTAGCGAGTCAAGGTCAGGAATAAAAAAGGCAATTTTATCTAAAAATAATTTAAATTTTTACTGCAAGGCACACAATGATTTGTTTGTTCTAACCATAGATTTCAAGACTCAAAATTGTAATTATACTATAGGAGAGAAAAGTGTAGAGCAAAATGTAGATAAAAATATTTGGCATAGAAGGTTAGGGCATATAAATAGGCATAATCTAAGTAAGTTAGGCTTGCCATACAGTTCAGAGATTTGCAGTACATGTGTAGAGGGCAAAGGCACTAGAAAACCTTTTTATAGAAAAGAAAAGACGACAGCTAGGATTGGTGAGTTGATACATTCGGACATTGCAGGTCCAGTACAAACGCCAACGCCTGAAGGGCATAGATACTTTCAAGTTTTGCTTGATGATTATTCTCATTTTTTGGTCATTAAACTTTTGAAAAATAAAAGCGAAGGGGAACAAAACTTGATTGACTTTATAAAATTAATAAAAACACAACATGGGTTAAAAACGAAAAGAATAAGGGTAGATAATGGTGGGGAATTTACGTCGAATTTATTTAAAAATTTTTGCAGATTAAAAGGGATTGAGCTGGAATATACAATGTCATATACACCGCAAGAGAACGGCGCATCGGAGCGTATGAATAGAACATTATTGGACAAAGTAAGAACAAAATTTGTTGAAACGAACTTACCTAGAGAGTTATGGGGTGAAGCCATTCAGTGTTCTGCTTATGAGCTTAACCGGTCTCCGACAGAGGCAAATAACGGAGAAACTCCAGCTACAAGATGGTATGGTAAGAATGATATATCTAAATTGAGAGTTTTTGGAAGCCAAGCTTGGGCAGTAATCTTACCAAGGCAGAGTAAACTAGAAAGAAGGACACGACCATGTATACATGTAGGATATACTGTATCGGGTTACAGACTATGGAATTATGAAGAAAATGATATTTTTTGTTCAAGAGACGTGAGATTTGATGAGAAGACAATCAACTATGACAAAATAAAGAAAAATCAGAAGCCAGAAAAGTTCAGGCAAGTAATAGAAGAGATTGAAAGTGAACATAACTTAAAAGGAGGAATAAATGAAATTGAAATTGAAACACAAGAGCAAAATATAACAGAAGATGAGTCAAATGAAGATACAGAGAGTTCAAGCTCAGAAAGTTTTGAAGAATGTTTACCAAGAACAGAGACAACAGCCAAAGGTAGAAAAATCACTCAACCAAGACATTTAACCGAATATGAGATTTATACAGCATATTGCTTAATATCAGCAAGTGAAGAAGATCCAATTAAATATGAAGAAGCAATAAAGAGCAAAGAATGGAAAGTAGCTATTGAAAAAGAGCTAAATTCACATGAAAAACTGAAAACATGGACAGAAACAGATTTACCAAACGGAAAAAGAGCTATACAAACAAAATGGGTTTTTAGGACGAAAGAAGATGGAACTAAAAAAGCTAGAGTGGTAGCAAAAGGGTTTCAGATGAAGGAGGAGGATCCTTTTGAACCAAACTACTCACCTGTCGCAAGAACGTCAACGATTAGAATCATATTTTCAATAGCACTACAACGTAACTGGAACATAAGGCAACTAGATATACCTACAGCATTCTTGAATGGAATTCTCGAAAATGAAGTCTATATTCATGCACCAGCAGGATTGAAGTGTAATACACCTATATTAAGACTAAATAGAGCGTTATATGGGCTGAAAGAATCACCTAAAGTTTGGAACGACACCTTTAATAATTTTGCAACTAAAAATAACTTTACCAGATCTAGGCATGATTGTTGTTTATATTATAATCAAAAAGTATGGATACTCATCTATGTAGATGACATGCTACTACTAGGAAATGATACAGGTGTAGAAGAGACTGTGCAACTTTTGAAAAAATATTTCCAAGCCAAAGATCTTGGGGAAATCAAGAATTTTTTGGGAATGAATATAACGAGATCAAAAGACAAGATAAAGATTGACCAAACAAAATTCATAGAAAAACTTTTAGCAAACTTTAATATGGACCAATGCAATCCAAAAAGAACACCAATGGAGAAAGGATTTCAATATAATGAAGACAGTCAGATACTAGAAGATGTTCCATATCGTGAATTAATTGGGGGACTTATGTATTTAACTACAACAACAAGACCTGATATTGGCTACGCAATTTCTTATCTAAGTAGATTTTTGGATCGACCAACTACAGAGACATGGAATGCGGGAAAAAGAATACTACGTTATCTACAAGGTACAAAAGACATGGCACTCACATTCCACAAGAATTCAAATACAGACATAAATTTACAGGGATATTCAGATGCAGATTGGGGAACAGACAAAAAAGATCGTAAAAGTGTCAGTGGATGCATAATACTTTATGGACAGAATCCGATATTTTGGTTTTCCAAGAAGCAAGGTTGCGTTGCGCTATCTTCAGCAGAAGCAGAATATGTGGCAGCATTAATTTCAGCTCAGGATTTGATTAATTTGAAGGGAATTTTGAAAGATTTTAACATTTCTGGCAATACAATTCTCTATTGTGATAACAAAAGTTCAATTCTGATGTCCAAAAGTAATGAGAATTCAAAAAGATCCAAGCATATTGATATCAAACATCATTATTTGAAGGATTTGGTTTTGGGTAAAGAAATTAACATTCAATATGTATCAACTGATCAAAACCTAGCTGATATACTGACAAAATCTTTGGGAAAAGAAATTTTCAATTTTCTTAGAGATAAGATTTGTGTTTTGTAAATTTTCTTTGAAGTTTTTATAAGCTGTCATTCAAGTACGATTTTTATGTTAAGTTTATTTGTGTTGATTTTTTGAAACATTTCAAATCGAGGAGGAGTGTTAGAGTAATATAGTGCACTGAGAGTGAAAGCCGAAAGCGCCTAGCAATAGAACATAACCTAATATAATAATGTAACCAAAAATATATGCTTTTGTAACTCACGTTTAATATTTTATAATAAATTAATGATTAAAGTAATTAGTTAGAAGTTCTCTATCATCAAAGACGTAAATCAACCCCCCAGATACTGTAATACCTTTTCCGTAGATTTATCGTTAACCGTTAGAGTTAAAAAGCGTGTAAAAGAATTTGAGTGTTTATACTATTTCCTTTTCCGTATACTTTTCCGTAGTGTTTAAACCGTATCCTTGAAAGTTAATTAATATTTAACTTCTACGGTTAAAGATAAAGAAATATCCGGATGCGCATGCGTAATTTGCAGGAAAATTTTTGGCATCCATGTTTTGATTTTTTTTCTACACCGAACAAGTTCTAGGTTATGTTATGGTTATAGGTTTTGTGGTTATAGTGGATTGTGGATTAATAAAAAAAATACAGTATTCCTAACAAAAATTTAAAAAAAAACTCTGAAACGTGCGTGATTTAACTCAATAGAATGGACCTCGGCAGTCTAATTGACGCGGTTAGGAGTTTTCCCCATTTATGGGATAAAAACATCCAAAATACATGGATCAACTTGCGAATGAAAATGCCTGGGCAAGCATATCGGCGATTGCGGAGGTATCAAGTGAGTTTAAACATTTAATATATTTTCTAAATTCTTCTTCTATAAAAAAAATACTTATTTTAGTTGAAGACTGCAAACTTGCCTGGAAAAACGCCAGAGAGCGTTACGTAAAGGAGAGACGCCTTAGTACGAAAATTCCTTCAGGATCTGCTCCCTATATTGTGAAATGGCCATTTTATTCCCTCTGTAACTTCCTAGACAATGCAATAAAGCAAAGAAAGTAGGTATTTCAAAATGTGTTGTAAGTAATTGATAAAAATACACCTAAATATAATAGGTCGAAATGTGAAAATATACCTACTCGCTCTCATGCTAGCTTTGGCTTAAAATTTGAAAAATGTTTTAGGACGATCGGAAACATCAAAAAGGTATCAGAGACAGTCGAAGAATGGCAGGAAATGATTATCGACGAAGATGGTAATGTCCTCCCAGCTGAAGAAGATAATATAGATAATTATCAGCTAGAGTCCGATCAAGAGTTGATCAATATCTCAGAACAGGATGCACAGCCTTCAACATCAAAAGAGTTGCCAACTACTTTGGGTGTGAAAAGAAATCAACAGAGTCAACAACAACAAACAATAAAAAAATTAAGAATTGAAAGAAACGACCACCAAAAAAAGACTAAAAATAAAGAGAATGCAATTCAGTCTCTAGTAGAAAATAATGTAATGGTCGGGGAAAGCATCCATGGACTAGTTAAAATGTTGAATGACGAAAAATCATCTGAGGTCTCGGAAGAAGACATGTATTTTGGCAAATCAGTAGGGGCTTCACTATCAAAAATTAAAGACTTTAAGAAAAAACTTAAAATTAAATCAAAAATAATGCTCTTATTATGTGATGAAGTCGATGAAGACACAGAATAGGAAAAATGTAATTGCAATAATTGACTCTAAGGCTAGAAACACAGTGAAAGCAGGTTGCCTGCTTACCGGCAACCATCACTGATAAGTTCGTCATCAGAAGACCTGGAGGACATATATGACGCTAATAAAGTGGAGCAACAATAACACTTTTAAATACCAACATCCAGACAGTTTGTTGCTCCACTTTATTAGCCTCAAATATGTCCTCCAGGTCTTCTGATGACGGACTTATCGGCGCTGGTTGCCGGTAAGCAGGCAACCTGCTTTCACTGTTTTTCTAGCCTTAATCTTCTGATCTCGCCAGTGCCAAACCTGTTAGCTCTTATTGTTTAAAGAATAATTTTGTTTATTTTAGTAATGTTTATGTAGATATAGGTATGTTATTCATTTTGTAGGCATATTATTATTTATGTAACCTGTTTTGTGAAATATTTGTTTTCTGGAGTAGGTAGGTACAGGGTAAATAAATAAAGGAAAAAATATGTATAGTTTATATAATATTTATTGTTACGGTCCTGACTAAAATGCTACCCTTCTGGGCATGCGCTAGTTAGGGAGAACCTTTGAAGGTATGACAAGCGCCAAGATCGCTCTCTTGGTTCGTGACTCTTATAGGGATAACAAGTACCTTAAAGCTGCATCGTCTAATTTAAATTTCTATTTATAATTCCATTGCTAATTCCTAATTCGTGATAATTAAACAAGTGATATTTTTGTACAACTTTTATTTAAAACGTAACAATGGCGACGAGGAAAACGTGAACGTGAAAAACGCGAAAAACGAGTTAGTAGTGCCGCAAATCGCAATAAAAAAAAAACGGATTTCGCATTCCTTTCTGGTGACGTATATAACCTCTAATCTAACCTCGTGGTGACGGTACGGGTTCGAGCACGGTCGACCTAAATTTGGCAACACCGGAAACTACTGAAGTTAGCTGACAGCTTGATCGAAGCAAACGCCACAAGAAAAAGAAGCGAAAAGACGCAACGTCAAAGTCAATCAATCTGACTTGTCATTGATTATTGATTTGTTGTTGATATTTCTAAACATTGAAGAAAATAAAAGAAATATGGCTTTAATAGGTGCAATTACGGAATTTAATCACACAACGGACGATTGGAAATTATGGCAAGAAAGGTTAGAATCATTTATGAAAGTAAACAAAATCGAAGACGATTTAAAACCTGAAACATTGCTGAGTCTAATGGGTGCTGCAACCTACAAAGTTCTAAGAGAATTATCACATCCCAAATTACCCAAAGAGAAGTCATACGAGGAATTATGTGCGACCCTCAACCAACATTTCTCACTACATGTCTCTGTTTGGAGAGAAAGGATAAAGTTTCATGCCGCAAAGCAAGATATAGGTGAAAACTTGGGAGAGTTTTATGCCCGCCTGAAGAGTTTGTCAATGAACTGCAAGTTCGGAACGAATTTGGAAGATTTTTTGAAGGATAAACTAATGTCAGGACTGCGAAGTGGTAGGATCGTGGATAGACTGTGTGAAGAAGATGTAAGCAAAAGTTTGACGGATATGGTAAAATTGGGAATGCAAAAGGAGGCAGAATCACTACAAATCATGGACGTGCATGCAATGAACAATTATATAAGAGGACAAAAGAGGAATTTTCAACGACCAGAGCAAAAACAGAGTAATTACAAATCAAATCACAATGGACCAAAAGATAATGAGAGTAAAAATAAACCCAAAAATAAATGTAATACATGTGGTAAGAGTCATCAAGGACAATGTAAGTATATGAACTTTATTTGTAATAATTGTAATAAAAAGGGACATTTAAGTTCGGTCTGCAAAACTAAATTTAAAAGACAGAATTATTTAGACATTGATACCGAAATAGTGAACAATGACTGTGAAACAATTTTCTCAATTTCAAAATGCAAAAATAACTTTAATGACTTTAAACTGAACATAGTGATTGATGGTATTGAACATGAACTTGAAGCAGACTGTGGTGCAAGTGTATCCTGCATTAGTAAAATAACTTACAATAGACATTTTAAACATTATTCCTTGCAATCAGATATGACTATCTTAAGAGGTTACTTGCAAAGTCAAAATTTTACACCTCTGGGTTATTTTTATTGTAATGTTACTCTGAATAAATTGACAAAATCAACTAAATTTTATGTGGTTGATAATGGTGGTCCAATGATAGGAGGACGTGACTTTTTGAATAATTTCAATATTAAATTACATTTAGTCAATAACATGGATAGAGTTTCTCATCCTAAAATCCAAAAAGTGATAGAAAAATTTCCTAACGTTTTCAGTAATACCATTGGCTGTTTTAAATTCAATAAAATATCCTTACAGTTGAAACCTGGGAGCCAACCTGTTTTTTTCAAACCACGACCCGTTCCACTTGCCTATAGACAAGCACTTGAGGACGAGTTGGAGAGACTTCAACAGCTGAGCATCATTACACCCACGGAAACAAGTGACTGGGGAACACCCTTGGTGGTAGTGCCAAAAACGAATGGTAAAATAAGAATATGTGGAGATTACAAGGTAACAAATAATAAGTATTTAGAGGAAGTTAAATATCCTTTACCTGACATTTCATCATTATTTGCCCGATTATATAAAGGAGAAAAATTTAGCAAAATTGACTTATCAGATGCTTACAACCAATTTGAACTGGACGACGAATCCAAGAAGTACCTGGTTTGGTCTACTCATAAAGGCTTATTTAAAGTAAATAGGATGCCCTATGGTATATGTCCGGCATCTGCCAAATTTTAACGTTTAATTGAGCAGCTATTCCAAGGCATGGGAGGAGTAAGCAATTTTCTTGATGATATTTTAATTACAGGTCAGAACGACTCTGAACATATTGCGACGTTAAGCATGGTTTTTCAAAAGCTTTCAGACGCTGGATTGACCGTCAGGAAGGAAAAATGTAGCTTCATGCAAGACAAAATTGAATATCTAGGCCATGTCATTACTAGCGAAGGTCTAAGTAAGACAGAAGACAAGGTAAAAGCAATTCTAAAAGCTCCAGAACCTAGAAATACAACAGAGGTAAGATCTTTTGTTGGATTGGTAAACTATTACTCAAAATTTATTCCAAATTTGTCAACAAAATTGAAACCTGTATATAACCTTTTAAAAAATGAAGTTAAATTTGAGTGGTCAAAAGAATGTAGCAGTGCTTTCGAGAGTATTAAAAACGATATAGCAAAAGATATAACTTTAGTCCATTTTAACCCAAAATTGCCAATAATTTTAATAACTGATGCAAGTGCATATGGAATAGGAGCAACACTTTCTCATCTAATCAATGGTGTAGAAAAACCTATTGCCTTCGTATCACGTACCCTAATGCCAGCTGAATTAAATTATGCAACTTTATGTAAAGAAGCATTGGCAGTGGTATATGGAGTAAAAAAATTTGAGCAATATTTGTGGGGACAAAAATTCATTCTTAAAACTGATCACAAACCTTTAACATATATATTTGGAGACCATAAACAGATACCACAAACGTATGCAAATCGCTTACAAAGATGGTCGATTTACCTTGCAAGTTTTAATTACAGTATTCAATATATTAAAGGGAAAAACAACGAAATATCTGATTTTTTATCTAGAGCACCGATAAAAATCAATGTTATAGACCAGGAATTCGAGGGGAAAGGCGAAATGTTGAACTTCGTCAAGGACAACAGTAATTGGCCAGTGGACAGCAACTTGGTAAAAACAGAAACAGACAGAGACCCAATCCTTAGTAAAATCAGAACATTTGTCGAAGGGGACAAATGGCCTAATAAAGTGGATGAAGAATACAAATTCTACCACAGAAAACGAGGCGAATTGATAGTAAGTGAAAAGATTTTATTATGGGGACACCGAGTAGTAATTCCAAAGAAATTGAGAGCACAGCTACTGAATGAGCTACACACAGCCCATTTAGGCATAGCGAAGACGAAATCTCTGGCAAGAAGTTATTTATGGTGGCCTAAATTGGATGAAGACATCGAGAATCTGATTACAGCATGCATTCCTTGCTTGCACCAGAAATCAGAACCTCCAAAGTCTGAATTAACTCCATGGGAAGCCGAGAAAACTACTTGGAACCGAGTACACGCAGATTTTCTAGGACCTATTCGGGGGGTCTATGTTCCTGATTATTGTTGATGCCTATAGTAAATACCCAGAAACATATCCTATGAGAACAATAACAGCAGAAGAGACCGAAGAAAAGCTGAGAGACGCATTTTCCAGATTTGGATTACCAAAAACTTTTGTCACAGATAATGGAACACAATTTGTCTCAGCAAGATTACAAAAATTCTTCAAGCAGAATGGCGTAAAACACATCACATCACCAGTGGGATTTCCTCAAAGTAATGGACAAGCTGAAAGGGCGGTCCAGACGTTTAAAAATGCCATGAAAGCTGCACTTGAAGATAACACCAGTAAAAGTGAAAAATTAACAACCTTAATGTATAGATTTCTTTTAAATTACAGAAATGCAGTACACGATACGACAAAACAATCACCAGCTAGCATAATGTTCGGCAGACACTTGAGAACAAGACTAGATTTGCTCAAACCTGTTGAGAAATTGCAACCCACAACTGTAACACGAAACATCGAAAAATCCCAAGAAAAACAAAAACAACATTATGGATCCACAAGAATGAGGAAATTTAAAGTGGGGGAGAGTGTAATGGTTCGAGATTACAGAAAAGTTAACCAAAAGCTTTGGGCAGCAGCTAACATCACCAGAAAAATAGGCAAAGCGACTTATTTATGCCAGTTGAAAGAAACCAACTTGATATGGAAGAGACATATAAACCAAATAATTTACAGAGGAGAAAAACCAGAAGATAAAGAAGAACCAAAAGATGAAGAAAAACCAGAAGACAAAGAGAACCCGATTAAGCAAAACAAGATAACACAATCAGGGGCAATGTTGGCTTACTACGAAGATGATTCGAGATGCAACAATGCAGAAGAAGATAATGGTGTACCAAACGAACATTTGGATGAACATGAAACAGTGATACACAGTGCTTTAGACAATAACATTGACGGAAATGACAGTTTTCAATCGATAGACAGTGAAAATGATAATGACAGTATTGACATTCATAATCATAATAATGTTGACCAAGATTCTAATATTTCCAATATCTCATCTAGGTCTCCACCAATGCTATCACCGCAAATGCCAACAAGCACACGTCCACAGCAACAAATAGCACTCCAGTCGCAAGTACCAGAACAAGCGCAAGCCAGTACAAGTAAAACTCCAGAAAGCCAAGCAGCAAAAGCAGCAAAACATCAACAAAAGCACGCTGAAAGACGAAGTACTAGGAAAGTTGACAAACCTTATAGATTAAA